GCTTTCTGCTTCCAAAGTTCAAAATTTTGTAGTTATGGTAATTTTACATTGGTGGAAATTAACTATTTTCTAACCTTTTATATTTTAGGTACCATTGTAATTTTAAAAGAAATAATCAAGTAAAAAAATGGAATTAAAAAATTTACCTGAAATCTTAAATGTAGCTACCGCTTGTGAAATCACTATCCCAGGAAGAAAGAGACCACTCAAGGGACATGGTGTGGAGATTTACTGGGGACAATAGGCTAGAAAGACATTTGGCAAGTTCTGCAATAGTAGCGCAGATATGAAGTTCACGCTTACCAGAGACTGTCATCACAATGTCACCAAAAACACTGTGTCCACTAAAAACTACGACACAAAATAACAATCTTCTTTCACCTTTCATTCGGCCTTAATCAACTGTTAATTCAACAACTTAGCCCCCAAAAACAATTTAGCCCCTCATTTCAGCCAAGTGCTGTACCAAATCCTGAGATTCAAAGATCAAGAAGTTGTGTGGAAAAAATAAAAAACTAAAGCCAGTAAGACTTTACTTGGGATACCCTTACAAATGAGTCCATCCAAATAAAATGGTGTAGATTAAAACCACAGAACATAAAATGATTAATATTTGAGTTAGAACCCAAATACACTACAAATGAAGGGCAAAATGATCCTTTGTTGAACCTCCTCTCTCCAGATATGACGGCCTTCAACAAAATTCCATATAGTTTGCCAATGGTTAAGCGCTCGGCTAAGAAAAAGGTTGGCCGTTCAAACCCACCAGCTGCTCTATGGGAGAAAGATGTGGCAGTCTGCTTCCAGAAAGATTTACAGCCTTGGAAACCCTATGGGGCAGCTCTACCCTGTCCCGAAGGGTCACTATGAGTCAGAATTGACTTGACAGCAATGGGTTTGGTTTTGGGGAAATATCTAGAGTTCTCGGTGCTTAACTTCTAAGCTGCCTCATTCTCTATAATAAGCATTAGCACAGAGTTCCTGAATATACTTCCAGGCTGGTTTGAAAATTGGAAGTCCTGGTATTTCAGTCTATTTTAGAACAAGTAAACAAATGTGTCTATCAAAGAGGCCTCTGTTTCTTTTTTTCTCCATTCAAGTCAACCACCACACCCTAGAGGAAATGTGTGCATGGATCAGGGAGTAGCAACTAAACTGGAGCTTCAGGCACCCTCTGTAGGAGGCCACTCCTTGAGATAAGGAGCCCTCCAGCTCATAAATAAGTAAGGGGAGAGTTATCACACCTTACTGCATATCTAAGAAGTTGACCCAGCCCTCAAGTTTCAAAACTCAAATCTAAATTGAATTCCAATGGACTGTAGACTCCAACTCCAGAAGAGGAAAAACGGAACAGAGTGCAAGAAGACTTCTACCACTTTAATTTGAAGATGATCATAGAACTCAGTTGCTTTCTATCTGTATAAGCACTAATTTGGTGCTCTTTTGTGATCGTGTTGTTATCATAATTCTATGTTGGTTGTTATGTTGGTCAGAATGCTACATGCAGAGCTAGAAAGCAACTTGAATATCATAATCTACCTGATTTATTTTACAAATGAAAAAATTCAGCCCTGGGTAAGTTAAATGACTTGCCCGAACATCTAGGAAGTGGCAAATGAGAATCTTCATTGCTAACACCTGATTCATTACTCTCTCTACTCATTTTTGACAGGTATTTGCTCATCAACAGATTTAGTGACTGTTAACCATGTGCAAGACACCCCAGGGATTACACAAAAATGGATGCAGTCATCTCCTCAAAGAATCTGAAAACTAGTGGGTGTTAGACAATATTTTCACAGTTTCAATAAATAAATCATTAAACAAGGCTTACACGGAATTTTAGAGAAATTATCTGAAATTATCTCTCTTTATGGCACTATTTCTTCATTCTAAACTGAATTCTTCCACTTTCCTTGCAGCCCATCCTCTACAGAAGGCAGATGTCATGGTGAGAGGATGATGATGATGACAGTGATACTACCAATTACAAGACACTGACTACATGCCAGTCACACTTCTGGAACCTTTATATATGTATTAGCTCGTTTAATCCTCTCAACTACCTTAGGAGAGAGATACTATTATAATTTCTATTTTACAAAAGATAAGAGAAAGTCAACTGCCCAATTAGTGGGTGGTCAAGTTATGGTTTACACCCAGGCACTATTTCCCAGGCTTCTGGCCTTGAATCAGCCCTTGATTAATTAGAAATTATCTGGACCCTCTGGACCTCAATTTCTTCATCTGTGAAATGATGGGGTGAGGCATATGATGTCCACAGTCTCTTCCAGGTCTAGCATTCTGTGATTCCCTGATTGAGGTACAGACAGTCGCCGACTTAACAATGGGGTTCCGTTCTAAGAGCTCCATCGTAAGTTCGTTCTGACATAAGTTGAATACCTCTTTTTTTTTCATTATTATTGCCATAGCCTTCCATACAGCAGTGTTTTGAACAGTAAATCATAACACTGAACATCTGGGAGTGAAGATCTGAGAATGATAACATTAGCAAATTACATACTGCCACACTGTATGTAGTACATATTACTAAAACGATTGGAGCCCTGGTGGTGCAGTGGTTAAGAGCTCAGCTTCTAACCAAAAGGTCAGCAGTTCAACTCCACCAGCTGCTCCTTGGAAGCCCTATGGGGGAATTCTACTCTGTCCTGTAGGGTCGCTATGAGTCAGAATCGACTCAACGGCAACGGATTTGGTTTTCTAATTTGGTACTAATGATAAGATGTACAACAAAAAAACAACAGAAGATTGTAAGCGTGCTTACTTGTAGTTCAAATACATTGTATGTTGGGGACTACTATATTTAATCAGTCTCTTGTGATGTAGAGTAAGGAAAATGCTTTGTAGACGCTAAGGATGACCTTTGACTGTGCATCAGATTTCGGGGGAGTGCGTAAAGATTTTATACATATACCCTTAACCCTTACCTGGGTTCCAGGCTCAGAAATATTTAAAACTAATGGTACAGCCACATAACAGAACAACATACAATCATTAACAAGTGTTTAAACAAAAAAAGAAGTTTTAAATTTTTAATGATGCTTCAGAGGAACTTATACTAACATGGGAAAATATCATGTTACAGGTTTAAAAATAAAGCAGGAAACAATATGTGAACCATGTTATTCAAAACATGGGGAAAGAAACAAGAATATTCAACAGTGGTTGTATCTGGATAACAGAATTGAGGAGGTTTTTCTTTCTCTTTTTCCTTATTTTTCTTTTTTAAGGTAAGCTTAAGTTACCTGGATAATTAGAGAGGAGACCTTTCTTTATAAAGAGAGAAAAGGTGCCCAATGTCCTCACATTGATTCCCTGAGAAGAAAATACTCTCCTGAAAATATCTCAGTAGCAGCACTGCAAAAATTCCAGAAATGCAGGTTTGGACGAGATCGCCATTACTACCTACGATAGACGGGTAGGGAAACCCTGGTGGTGTAGTAGTTAAGAGCTTCGCTGCTAACCAAAAGATCGGCAGTTCGAATCCACCAGGTGCTCCTTGGTAACCCAATGAAGCAGTTCTACACTGTCATACAGGGTCACTATGAGTCAGAATCAACTCGATGGCAACAAGTTTACAGGTATAGATGGGGAAGAGCCCTGGTGGCCCAGTGC